GTACTAGTTCGTTTAATTTTCACGAACATTTGTTGTTTTTTTTGGTTTGTTGTGGAGAAGCATGCTCACTGATACTCCCGAAAACACCCAGATCATTGGAAAAAGCCTACCTATTATGCCGAACTGGAGAGGAGAAAGGGGGAAGATCACCAAAGAAGAACTTCAAAAAACGTGCCAAGGAACGTGGGGACAAATGGGGAACGAATGTCAGCTTCCGCGTGTCATCAACAGTCAGTGATTTGCATGCAGCAGACGCTAGGTATCAGAGAGACTGCCACTCCTGGTTCTACATAAACTATCCAACGCAATCAACTAGCTCAACTACAACGCATGACAATGTCTTCGGTATGCTGGTTGACGAGATTCGATGAAACAAATCACGAATGTGGAATAGTGTGGAAGTCCATGAACGCTATATATTGAACTTGGGGGGAAGACAAATCGCGACGTACACTCCTGAACCGTGTATCTTAAAAGCTACACCCAGAATTGCTTATCCTGTCTCACCAAGTGTGGCTTCCATCCTCGTCTTCAGGAGCACGGCTTCAGTCTAGATGCGTATTGTGAATGATGAAGAAGACTGCAATGGACGAGCCATATCATGCTTGGTTAGTGTGATCAAAGCAGAATGTCCAAAGCACAATCGCCATACGTCCCCAAATCGTCTGCCTAGGGAATTCGTCATGAATGAGTGCAGCCTTTGCTATCGGTCCTTGCAGCTACATACCCCAAACTGGATTCTACACTGCCAGCAGCAATGATCGGCCACACTGTTACGAGTACAGTCAACAGCTATTTCACAAACTTGCAACTTGGACTTAGTGTCCTGACAGCCCATTCCTGGACATAACCCCATCTGAGTCAGACACCGTGAAGACAGCAATGGTTGAAGCCAAGGTTCCGACACAGCTCACTGCTCATGGATGGACAATATTCACCAGTGACTACCAGCTGTACAAAGAGCTTGTCCACATCACATGGGTTGACAAGGAACAGTTTCAGAAGCGCATCCCAAAACTTGTTTGTATGCACATGCTGAGGAGTTTTGTTAGTGCTGTGGGATACCTGGTTGGAGGAAGTGGCATTGAAGACATACTTGGCTCAGCATTTGTAGGGGTGCCAAAAATGTTGACCCAGAAAAAATACCCACAAAATGTAAAAGCATTGAGACTTCTTGTTGAGGAGTTACTGCGACCCATTCTCCCCAACACTGACGTGCACACCATGGCTGCACTCACGCAACATCTCGTCACCAAAAGCACCCAGAGCAAAACCACAGGACTTTGGGTTGAGTGCTCCTTGACCCAGTGTTCATTATGTTGGCCTTTGTTCGGGCTGAGAGAGAAGCTGACTGGACTCTTCTCTTGTTTGCTGTGGAAAAGATGTTCCCCTACATCTTTGAGCCTGGAACGTCAACTATGCTCGCTACTGTCTTTACTATCTCCGATCCAGGCAGCGCCTGCATCCACACGTCTTTGATGAAATACTTTAAAGTAATATATTGTAGTCTATATATATAAATATACACATATATATATATATATATATATACATGTATGTGTGTGTGTGTATGTGTGTGTGTGTGTGTGTGTGTGTGTACGTGTGTGTGTGTGTGTGTGTGTGTGTGTGTGTGTGTGTGTGTGTGTGTGTGTGTGTGTGTGTCACCCTTTGCCACAAGACAGAACTTATCCATGCGAGGTCTTGATTTTAATGCGACGATTTCAAGTGTATTGCGGATTAGCACATTAATTATGAAAACTATATGGCGGCCATCCTGTTTTGTTTTTTAAGTTGCCATTTTATCGAATACTTGATGTGTATTTCATCAAGTGTGGTTACTTTTGTCACGCTGAATGCTATTTAATTCAGTTTATACATTTTTATGTCTTTAAATGCATGATATCCCTCACAACATCTTTCACTCACTCGAAATTTTACGGCGGCCATCTTGGATTTTCACTTCTAAACAAAACTGCCCAAAATTTAGCTTTTGGCCCCCATTAGATTTGAAATCAGCAATGAAAACTCAGTTAGAATCACCAAAGAAAAAAACTTTATGACGCAAAACAAGCTTTTTCATCTGGCGCTCGGACTATATTGGCAACGCTGAAAGCACTAGTAGTAGCGTTTGTAGCACAGACCTTCACGCTAAATCAACTACTGTCCCTCAAAAAACACTACCAACAGATGTACGTAAAGTACATTCACTACCATCACGCAAAATCCACCATCGTTTGTGTTTATAGCATAGGCCTTCACGTAAAAAATCACTATTTCTTGCTAGATGTAGGCCTATATCAATGAGTTCACTCTTTCTAGCAAAAATTACTATTCAAATTCAAGTAGATCTATGCTTTAAAAAAAAACATAAATCTATTCCGATCAATGATCACGTTAAATAAACTACTGTCCCTAAAAAAAAACACTAGATCTAGATCAACCACCAGATGTACGTATATTATTCTTAGCCTCATATCAGGTCATATCAGGCTATATTATATAATCACACAAACCCCACTGCTTTCGGCTTCTCACGTCGAATTCACTACTATAGAGACTTCAAAAACCACACATATTAAATTAAGGATCGTATTGTGAGTAATTTGCAATAATCTATTTTGTGGATGAATCTTGCAGTTGCCATGGTAACGGTGGCCATAAAGGAAAATGAACCATTTTTGGCATGTTTTTTTAATCTAAAAAAGTCAAGACATCACAAGCTTTTTCAGTTACATGTATCTTTTAGATTTATATTTTTCGATTAAGAAATATTTAAAAAATTAGTCATTGAAAAGTTTTTAAAGCCTTAGATCTAGATCTAGATCTAATCTAGATTATTTTTTAAAAACTTACAAACATCAATAACTTTAGGTAGAAATAAGATATCCAAAAAGCATGTGATATCTTGCTTAGCTATATTTGGACCATATCTCTACCAAGTTTCATTTAAATTTAAATCCATTCTTAAACTTCTGACTTTAGCAAAAAATATACAGAAAAATAATATGATTTCGAGGAAAATGCAATTCAAAACTTCTTCTCAGAAGTAGTAAATCACTACCTTTCAAAAGCATTTTAGAAGAAATATATTCTATTTGAGGCATAATACTTGGGAAAATGACACAATAGTGGCTAAACTAAAGGATAAAACAAAAATTTTAAGCTAAACCCTCATTTCAGGTGCCATCTTTTATTTATAAAATAGCCCAAGGTAGATCAGACTACTGGTCTTAAAAATACTAGGATTGTGTTTTGAGTATAATGTCTAGACCACGAAAACAACCGCAGTAGTGTTTATTGACGAAAAATTAATGATGATAGTGCTTTTGGCGTGGGTAGTCAATCTGGCGTGTGTAAGCGGTAGTGTTTTTTTTAGCTTAGAGATAGTTTTCTTAGCGTACGCCAAAGTCACTAGGGTAGTGTTTACAGCATGTGCAAAAATCACTACGGTGGTGG